CCCGCCTGCTCCGCGCCCTGCCCGCCGGGGCCGCGCTCCGGCCGCGCCGCCGGGCGCACTCCGTGGCGCTCGTGGGAGCCCCGCTCTCCAGGGGCCAGGTGGGCATCGCGGGGGGCGCCGGGTGCCGCGGTCGCCCGGCTCCCCTCCCCGGCGGGGCTTGCGTACCTGGCTGCGGGCAGCGCTGTCTGACGCGTTCCTCCTCTCTTTGTCTCGCAGAAACGGCGCGGAGTGGACCACGGCCCCGCTTCCCTCCGCGCCGCGGGGCTGGTGGAGCGGCTGGCCGGGCTCGGTGAGCACAGCGCGGCGCGCGGGGGCGGCGGCGGGGCCCGCGGCGCCCCCTCCCCGCTCGGGCAGCGTGACTCAGCCGCTGCTGCGGGCGGGCGCGGCTCCTGCCCCCGGACCCGCGGTGCCCCTGCCCCGCGGAGGTGCCGGGAGGGAGAGGCTGTCGCATTCCGCGCGGGAGGGGCCGCGCCGGGCCCTGCGGGGGTCCCGGGACAAAGGGCGGCCGGGGGTCCCCGCTCCCCGGGCGGATGCGCTCCGGCTGCCGGAGCAGCGGGACGCGCCGGCACATGGAGCGTGTGCTGCTCCCGAGAGCCGGGGAGCAGAGCCGCTGAGCCGCTGTGTGCGCTACGGCATCCAGACGAGTAACTGTGATCCTCGGCGTGTCACATACCCCATACAAAGGCTTTGATTTTTTTTTTTCTTTTTCTTTCCCCCTTCTGTGTTCGAACCAGCTTGTTTCTAAAAGATTCGTTTGCTTCCAGGTGATGAAATTCAGAATTTTCTGGAGAAGTCCTCAGTTTTATGTGTGAGGTCTGGTGTGAAGTCTTTGAAAACGCTTGCAAATACCACCCTGTGAACGGGCTGTTTCTGGTCTTTTTGTGCCAGCGAATCTATGCACTTAACTGTGATTCAGCTTCTCACATCTATTACTCCTACAAGCTGAGACCTGCAGAAAGCTGTACCACAGTTATTAGAAACTGTGGGTATGAGGATATGAGAGATAGAAACTCGTAAAGCTGAACCGTGTCCTGGACAATCTTTAATCTAAAGAGTGTTACTGAAAATGGTGTGATGAGGATGGATTGCAGGCGTGGACCACAGAAAGAACCAATATTTGCCCCCTGGGTGGTTAGTGTCAGTGGAGATAGATGCATACAGAGATAATTGCCTAATAACCCTCTAGCAATTTTATTCTGACTTGTAAGAACTCTTCAAAACAGAAGCAATTGTTCTGTGCAGCCCTGTAGGCTTATCCTGCATATCTTATGATTCACAAGCTGAAAAGTCACGGTCGGCAGCCAAATGAGTAGCTGTTCTTTTCCTCACTTGTTCTGTGCAAAGTACAGACACTTGCCATCATTGGCAGTACTTGAATTCTAGTGAGCAAGAGCGATAATCTCAGCAAATGTGCAAGAGAGCATCTAAGAGAGGTTCTTTGTACTGGAGTAGTTACTGAGCCTAAAGTTTATTTGAAACTAACAAATTGCTAGGTTTGAAAGGAGGATGCTCTTCTAAATAAGACTGTGGGCAGCAGATTACTTTGTATCAATAACAGAATTTTATACTGGAAGGCTTGGGGTTCTCTTTCAAGTGGTTCAGAGCTAATGCTTCCACTTTGTAAGAATTCTTTGAGGAAAACCCCAAACCCACAAAACCCAACAAAATTGAAAACTAGAAGAAAAAGCCCTCTCATTTGCCTGACACAAGCTCACTTCAATAGGAGCTTGTAGAAGGTAGAAAGAAAGGGAAATTCGAGCCCTTTCTGGATTCCAGTATCAAAATGTTATGGAGATAGAAATGAAGCTAGCCAAACTAAATTAAAAAATACTTTCTCTGCTGAGTTTCTTATAGGCTGTTTACTCATCAGTCAGTTATGCACATGGGGATATTTTCTTGCTGGTCCCTTACAGTTTTTAGAATCTCTTCCTCCTGCAGTTGCATTTTCCTATTGCTGGCAGGTTCTTCCACTGGGGTGGGGTTGGTTTGTTTTTTAAGGTAGTGCTGATGTCTATTGCTGCTTAAATCTCTGCAGCCCTTTCAAGAACAGGTTCTGCTGTGAGGGCCCATCCTGCAGTCACCAGCAGGCACAGAGGAGTGGTTTACAGTGCAAAGACAGTCTGCTTGAGGGGAGGGTGCTGGGTGGAGGAGGATGCTGCCATGTAGCCTTTTGTACTGTACACATTTGTTGTTCATGGGAACTTAACAAATAACTGTTTTTATGTGTGGGTTGCTTGTTTTTCTTCCCTGGAATGCCAGGATAGCTTTGGCTGCAGTACTATTGTCATAGTGCCATTACATGGAGTCCTGTGGTATGCTGAACTGGCAGTAAACTTCAGCTGCTTTCTTTGTCTTTCTAACACCATGAATTTTCTGCTCGTACTTTTAAGAATGCCACAATATGAGTGGAGCCACAGTATGATTCTAATTATTATTTTGGACATTCTAGTTATCTGT